CCCGGACTTGATCGCCACGCAGTCGTCGCCGGACACGATGTAGCAGTCCTCGATGCGGACGTGGGAGCACGAGTCCGGGTTGATGCCGTCGGTGTTGGGCGAGTGCGTCGGTGCCAGGATCGTCACCCCCTGCACCACGATGTTGCTGCTGTACACCGGGTGGATGTTCCACGCCGGCGAGTTCACCAGCGTCACGTTCGATATCACCACCGTGTCCGAGTGCATCACCTCGATCAGGTACCCACGCGTGTACTTGAGCTTGTTCGAATGGAACTTGGACCACCACATCGCCCCCTGCCCGTCGATCGTCCCGTTCGCGCCGGTGATCACCACGTCCGTCAGGTTGGACCCGCCGATCAGGCTCGCGTACCGGCCGCCGGCCTTGTCGCGGCCGCGGCCGTACGACGGGAGGGGATCGATGATGGGCCACTCGCCCATGTCCTGGGACCCCAGGATGACGGCGTCGCTGTGGAGGAACAGGGTGAAGTGGCTCGTCAGGTTGAACGGCCCAGTGAGCCACTTCCCCGCCGGCACGTACAGCATCGCCCCGCCGCCGCCCTCGCCGGAGTACTGCGACAGGTGGTCCACCGCCGACTTGAAAGCCGCCGTGTTCGACGTCGTGCCGTCGCCCACGCCGCCGAAGTCCGTCAGCGACGCCGTGTGCGCGCGGCAGCTCGGCGCCAGGTACATGCTCTGCCCGGCGATGGGCGCCGCCGGGCCGTGGCGCCGCGCCGCCACCGTCGCCGACGCGGCCAGGAGGAGGACGCATACGGACCGAAGAACCTGTGCCAACAAATTAAGATCATCTTATTTACTAAAGTACTCTCCTAAATAAAAGGGAGGAAAATATGAAAAATTGCAGATTTCGACATACTCAGATTTCTCAATCTACTGTGCTTGCTAGTTACTTCGACAGAAAAGGGGATGGAGATTGCTAATTGGACAGAAAATTTAGTGAAAACAAATACTATACTCCTTATAATAGAGGGGAAAAGGTGGTGATGAATTTCAGACTTTGACAGTGAAAGCTCACATAATTTGTACTACTGCACTGTCCGACACACCCGACAGAAAATTTTAACCAGAAATTGGGATTCAAAAAGCAGGGAGCGCGTGATCTTTGTTTAGTTGGTAGTGCATTCCTAAAGCATTGTTAAATACAGTATAGAAAACGAGACAAGAAAAAAAAACATTACTGTACAATATTCAGAGAAGAAGAGAGCATTCTTCAGGATAGGAGAAGATTAGGTACAGAGAAACAGGAACAAGCAATGACCAAGAACAGGTTGCAAGACAATGAAACGGGCGTTCTGGCACTGCCATTCATAAGATTTTTAGGACAGCCATAAAGAATACAGCAAGCGAAACAGCTACGCAAGCAATGAATGATGCTACTAAATAGCAAGATGGAGGCAGAGTCAGTTACATACATGAAGAGGTGACGCATTTGGTACCGGCTGCGTTTGCAACGCCATTGCTCTGGATGAGAGTGGAGTGTGGTCACGGATGAGATGAGAGAATGGAGTGGGGTGGATTGGATGGTAGCGGCGAGTGAAGCTGCAGATTTATAGGAGGCCTTTCTGCACTATTGAGCACTCACTCCTGCCTCATCCTTAGTACTATTAATTAATTAGTGAGATTTATTATCCATGCAATCCAGCACTAACTTTCCCTGTCTTTTCTTTTCTGTACGACTCCTCCCTTTTTCTCTTCAAATTGACATCCTGAATACTTTATGCTATTACCAGTTCATGTGAAAAATTTACCTTTTTACTAGTAGAGCTTTTCAGCTGCCTGCCTGCCTGCCAATAGCCCAATAGCTTGCTTTTTACCGGCCACCCGGCCTCATCTTATCGATGCCTAGATTATATTCGCTGTGACTTAATACGAACTAGTGAACTACTAAAGCATTCAGTTTATACTAGTAGTAGAGTTCTTGTTTGTTCAGTTCAGAGATCACATGTGATGGTCAGTTCAGTGTTGTGCTCTCTTTTCAGGTTGTCTGTTTCCCTATCTTAACACTAGATGGTTGATACTGTCAATCAGTCACGGGTCTAGAAATTAGGCAGCAGCATTTACCCTCCGAGTTTATATCTTTTCTATAACAATATTCTCAAATTAAACCCCCTAATTAATTTTCAGCTATAACTAAGGTTTTTTTTTCTGTTACTGAATCAGCTCTGTTTTTTTTTCAGTCTTTATTGTGCACTATGAAGTATGAATGACCACATGCTGTATTTTGTGATAAAAAAAAGTGCATGTGTTAAAGCTGTGATTGTGGGACGGTGGTAATGAACAATTCATTTGTCTATTCATTCATGTTGTGATCGATGAACCACATATATATGTTGCGGTGCTTGTCATCGTCGTCGCCGGAATTGAAGTGCTCTGTTTCAGTGCGCATGCAATCCTACGCATGACAGGTCTTTGGGAAGTCGCCGCTCGTGCTGGATTTTGTGGCCACAAATTGCTTTAGAATTTTGTGCACTTTTTGGTTCAACTAGTTAGTATAGTAGTTATTATTCAGGAGGATTAAACCTGCTTTTGCACTTGATTTCCTTCATTTGTATAGAAATGGGCAGGTGCATCCGTGCATGAGTATTACTCCATATGAAATCAGCTTGCAAGATCCTCAAAAATAAAAAGCTTATGAACAACCGAGGGATCACATTGGTACTGAATTACTGATGGATAGATCATGTGTGGGGGTGGTGACTGGACATATATTCAGAGACAAACTGCCGGTTTAGTTTTTTTAAAAAAAAAGAAGCCGGTTCATAGTTCATGCATTGCGTCTCATTGTATTGTACTACTATCAGAGATTCAGAGAGAGAGAGAGAGAGAGAGAGAGAGAGAGAGGAATTCAGCCATGTCACGGGGCGTTCATAGTTGGTGAGATTGGTCGTTCTTTGTGGTTCACGGGTGGATCGTAGTATATGCATTAGTACCATTGTCGTATTATTGTTGTCGGTCCCATTACACGATCACGATGCTTTCGGCCTTCACTCTACTACTACTAATTAGCCTTTTCTTGGATTACGCAAAGCGAGCTCACGAGCTCAACATACATACGGATATGCTTGCTCGCCTCAGTTGAGTAGAACTTGAGTGTTCATCAGCTCAGTCCTTTCAGTTGTTGCTGTCTTCTCCTGAATCAGTTTCAGTACGCTCTCTGCCCTCTGCAGCCGGTTCCAAACTGTAATCCTACTCCGAGCATGCAAATGAACCTCAGTTAATTCATTACTGCTGCTAATCAGTGAATACAAGTGTTTTTTTAACTAGGAGAGCCAAGCAAATGAGACATTACATCAGTGAAATGAGACAGAAATGAGACATTACATCAGTGAATACAAGTTGTTAAGGAAAAATGTTACAAACAAATACTACTATGATACTATTCAGTGAGGCTTTAAGGATTCAGACAGAAAAGATAGTGAATGCTACTGTAGTACATGTTCGGTACCACTACAAACACACACTACACTTGCATTGCATGCGTGCAAGCTTAACTTAATCAAGTAACAAGTGGCAACCTCATGTCTGCATGCGTGCTTTACGCGCTTAGCTTCAGTGGGTCGGCGCCGCTCTGCCATATATGCTATGCTCTCCACCATCACAACAACATTCACAACTCGATCAGCAATTTATTTATTTTGAGCAGGCTGCACATGTACATATTACAGGATATCAGACAGCTGAAAATGCTTGTCCAACCACAATATTTACATATGGGAATTGAAAATGCATGCATCACTTAATATATATGCTGGTCCAAGCACAATCCATATTTTTACAAGGTCAGAAAAGAGGCCGAAATTATACGCACGCCCGGTGCTTTTCGTCAGAGAAAAGGGTTTCTCCTTTTCCTTTCCTTTCCTTTCGTTTGTGGCACGCCCGGCCGTCCAGTAATGGGATGGGATTGGTATCGCCCACTACCATTTTCCATCCATCTATTCCATTCTCAACTTAAATCACCCGATCATTGCTCAGTAAAATTCAAGTGAACTGAAAGGAGTCACAGAGCTTTCGGTGATAATGCTGGCGGCGGCGAAAAATCAAGGATAACTCAACCTAGGCTCTAGAAGTAAAACGACTCTCACAACTTATCCTTTAACTTTGTTTCTTTCTCGTACTTTTTTTTTCCGCGAAGATTACATTTCTTTCCTTACTTGTACCTTTTCCTTTTTCTCCTGCTATATATAATAAAATTGGTATGGTTTAAGTGCCGGTTAGTTTTTTTTAAAAAAAAAAAAGAAATCACCTAGCAAGCCGATATATATACTCTTGTTTTTACTTAATTTTTCAGTGATAAAACAGTAAAAAAATGACACATAGCTTTTTATAATGAAAATGGTTTGAATTTCCAATCTCTCCCAGCAGGCACGCAACGAGCAAAATGACACATATAAACACATGTTTATACCACCATACATACATGACACTAGCAAGGAGTAGACATGTGTGGTGTTCAGGCCTAAATATGTTCATGGACAATCGATCTGCAGTAGCTCTTGTGTGCGATGCATGCCACGTACACACGCACAAATGAGCTTACCGTTCTTGTTATACTATTATGTAACATATACTCCATATCCTTTTGGCTTTTTGCATGAAGCAGTTTGGGGAGTTCGCACAAAGGTGAGAGACATATATAGATCGATGGGAATGCAGTCCCCACCACTCACACTATAGCTAGAGAGTACAGATCCAATATTAACACTGTTCTATCAAATTAACAATGGAATGACTGCTGCAAAAAAGGAAGGTGGCCAGGAGCCAACCCAACCATGCATGGACAACAATAATACATGCACTTTCTATCCACTAGAATTAGAGTACATGCATATGCCGGAAAGAAATTAGGAAAACAAGCATCACAACCTGGAGGTGACAATTCATCAATAATCCATTCCAGCCACATCTGACCTACTACTATGAGGGAATTTAACATGCAGATGCTAGGTCATTTCTGGTCGAGATGCGATCATGCCAACACAACGAAACAATCAGGTAAGCATCATATCATTCATCACTAGTCTCCTCAACTCTCAAGGAAGCTAGCTAGGCCATCTAAAAATGCAGTTTACACCACAAACACTTTCAATCAAATAAGGCAAGGAGGGCCCATTACAACACCTATATAATTAACTGACACCAAACATTTTTGTCTTTGAACTCGTAACATGCAACAGTAAAAATGGCTTTCCTATACCAAACTTTGGTTTCTAAAGAAAAGAAAAAAAAACTAAGTATCACTCTGATAAAAAGATGCATCTTATGTGACTACATACAGATTATGCATTTGGTATGTTTATAATCCTCTCTGTATTTCTGTTCAGCCTATTGTTGGTTCCACTGACCACTTTCAGACTCAGTGGCTGAAGATGCTGCCGCTACTGCTTCTCCTTGGATGGTAAATGGATCCTCCCTCCTCTTCTGCAATGGTGAGACAATGGCTATAGGGCCAGGGTGGATATCTGACTGAGCAAGTGCTTCTTGATAGAGTGGTGCTTCACAATCCGTCAATTGCTCCCATGATGAAAATGTCTGGGACATGCCCCAATTGGTCCATCTCAATTGGGGAACATAAGCATGAGAGACACTTGTTGGTTTGCCAGAAGGATAAGCATCTACTCCTTGTGAATCTGGAGCAAATCCAAAGCCCACAAAATCCTCCCAGTGGTTGCATATTCTAAGGTTGTTCAACATCAAATGGCAGGGTTCCTCGGAGTCTTCGTCTATGAGAACATGAAGAGCCACTGCTTCAGCTATTGCAGCACCTTCATCATCTAGCCTCTGTTGCTCTTCCCTTTTCTGCTGCCGTTTCTTCTCCAGTTCTGAAATAATAGCAGCCGAGTTTGCAAGTGCTTTCTCTAACCGGCGCCTTTTCTTCTCCGCTTGCTTTTGGCGATCCAGCTCATCTTTTGCATGCTTCTTTTTCCCTTTCTTCAACACCTTGCCTCCCTGATTGCCTCCAGCCTTATCCATGGAAAATGTGCCACCTTCTCACTATATGTGATGTTCCTATACAAATCAAAGATTCAGAATCAAAAGATACCTCAATGATAGATTTTATTTTAATGAAGAAGCTATTCAGGCAGTAATGAATTCAAGATGGAATACCTAAATCAACTCAGGAGTCAGGACTGAAAGAATATACTGTTTCTTCTATTGTTAATTTTGCCCATAATTTCTTGCTGCGCAGTTTTTGCCCCTTTTCATAGCACAACAAACTCATATGGATCTTCTCCTGTATTAAGGAAATAACAAAGTGAGGTACTGACTACTGAACTAATATATGAAGGTACAAAATGCAGATGCTGGAGTAAAGCAGGAGAGCATACAAGGTGATTCTTAGCAGTCAAAGGAATATACACGGGGAATAAAGGCCATCAAGTACAACATATGTTTGCTGACAGGCCTAAGATGAGGGTGATACATTACTTGTTGAACCTGAACGCAAAGTCAAGCCAAACCATGTTGAAAAAAAATGGAACATTTTTTTCAAAATTAAAGTTTGATATGCTTTTGGTTTTCGGAATTTTTCAGGAAGAGACAGTGGTATCTTAACCCTATTGTCAACTACAAATTTCAATAACATATATGGAGAACAGAGGAATATAAATAACAAAGGCAAAGAAGATGCTAGCAGCCATGTACTATGTGCACCAGAAATTATAATTAGACTAAGAACTAAAGAGTTGCATTCTTAGATATAATATGCAGACCACGAATATTTAGTTCTTATCATTAAATAACACATAGCTGGAGCCCAAGATCAAAGATTAATACTTCTAGTCATAGGAAAGTCTACTTTTGTGTCTCAGATTTAATAAAGACCAAAAGATTCATATCAGACAGGAGCTGTCTTCCTAAGCCCAACATCAGACTAAACTCCATAAAACTATAGAAGTGATCCTGAGTAACTGCAGTTAATACTAATATTATTTGTCTCATCACTTAGCATGGGAAAATGCAGCCTGAAGATACAATTCACAGCTGCCTTGCCCGTGCCAAAGGGTTCTGATTCCACCCACCCGGAGCTTGTTGGTCCTCCAGGGCTCCTTCCAAGCACAATACGCATTAATCACCGCCGGATAGTAGGACCCAGCGCGACAAGTTTCTGGCTTTAATTTTCACAGCTACTCTAAATACCCCTGGTGAATTCTGTTGTGTATACTTTGTTTGGAAATTGGAAATATAGACGGGTCATAGAAAACAAGAGTGCATAGGAACTAGCTATTCAAGGAGTTAGCTACATACTAACCAAAATTTACAAGTTTGGGCATCCAGAGGATAAATAGTTATGACAAGACATTCCCCCTCATAGCATTAATTGGAAATTGAACCTAAATAGTGGAGTCCCATTTTTACCTATTTGATCGCCAAAGCCAAAAGTTTCCTAATAGAGTAGACAAAATCAAGCAAAATTTGTATCTAGCGTAAGGCTTTCAAATCCTCGGAAATAACCTAGATTTACAGATTTGATCAATACTACTATATGCAAAAACAATTACCACCACTAGTGTTATCCTGGTACAGTTGACCGGAAAAAAAAGATGGAAAATTGAAGCAATTGGCGTCCCTTGTCCATCTGAGTAAGAAACAAGAGAGAGAATTGAGGATGAAGGATTGGGGGAACTCACCCCTATGGACCTATATGCGTCCCAGTGGCGGCGGAGAAGGCGGAGGAGGGAGAGATCCGTTGGGTGCGAGTGGAGATCCGGGGGGGAGGAGGCGAAGTCGGCGAGCGGAGGGGGGTCGAGATCCGGCGGCGACCGAGTGCGTCGCGGCCTCGCGGGGGAAGAGAAGAGAAGAGAAGAGAAGGCGGCGACGGAGGGAGGAAGGAAGGAATCCGCGGGCACCAAACCGGATATCATCAATTAATTTCCCTCCCTCCAATCCAACCACCGCAAAATACTACCGCTGTACTACATGGGATGGGATGGGTGGGACCATCGGTATCCAAGACTATTATCTCTATTTGGCTTAAATTTGCAATAAAAAATTTAAAATTTCTCAAGCCAATTTGCAACGCACCATCATAAAATGCCACTAAGTTGAAAAAAAGAAACATCATATTTGCAATGTAGATTTAGACTGGGTGACGCTAATGGACGGGTGATCGCCGTCCCTCCCCCCCCCCCCAATGCACTCCTCTCCCCCCTTCCTCCTCCTCTTCTTCTCTTCCTACTACACCATAATTTTTTAAAGAAAATAAAAAAACAAAGTTAGAAAAATTTATGTATAGAAATACTACATATAAAAATATTTGAATTCTAATTCTAATTTGAATCAGGTATATAAATTTTTGACTTATAAACTTTGGGTCTATAAACTTTAGATGTATAGAAATACTATATATAAAAAATATTTGAATTCAAATTTAAATTTGAATCGGATATATAAACTTTTGACTTATAAACTTTGGGTCTCTAAACTTTAGATGTGTAAACTTGAGGTGTATAAACTTTAGGTACATAAATTTACTAAAATAGGAAAGTAATGCGGTGCCAAAAAAGAAAACCACATGGAGGAGGGGGTGATAGCTCGGGGCGATCGATTGCCCATTAGGCTTTTCGATTCAGACTTTACATGTCATACTCATATAAAGGCTATGTTTAGTTCCTCAAAAACTTTTCGCAAAAACATCACATCGAATCTTTGGACACATATATGGAGCATTAAATATAGATAAAAAGAAAAACTAATTGCACAGTTTGCATGTAAATCGCGAGACGAATATTTTAAGCCTAATTAGTTCATGATTAGCCATAAATACTATAATACCCCATATGTGCTAATGACGGCTTAATTAAGTTCAAAAGTTTCGTCTCACGGTTTACATGTGAGTTATGAAATTAGGTTTTTCATTCGTGTCCGAAAACTCCTTCCAACATCCGGTCAAACGTCCGATGTGACATCAAAAAATTATTATTTCACCAACTAAACAGGGCCTATACTAGATGGAAAAAACGTTCTTCCAGCACATGCTCAATAGGACAGGCACCATAAATAAACCAATACATTAAAAAAATCTTATAAGTATTCGGGTAAAAAGATCTATGCCGTACGGATTTATCACCATTCTACCTTATACGATCCAGTAGTAGTACTACCTCCGTTTTTTTAATCGATGATGCCGTTGACTTTTTCTCACATATTTGACCATTCGTTTTATTAAAAAATTTATGTAATTATAATTTATTTTGTTATGAGTGGTTTTATCACTCATAGTACTTTAAGTGTGATTTATATCTTATACATTTACATAAAAATTTTGAATAAGACGAATGGTCAAACATGTGAGAAAAAGTCAACGACGTTATGTATTAAAAAACGGAGGGAGTAATAGTTATTATGTGCCACATCATTTATTGATAAAACATTTTGATTTACCTTGATTCTCATCGAACCTATCTCAAGAAAATCGAATGCAAAACTCCTGCTATCGAAAGGGGGGAAAAGAAAAGGAAAGAAACGTAGAAAGGGTGAAAAATAGAAAGCAAGGGAGGCAGGCATGAGCCAGGAGGGATCACAGACGTGACTACACAGCTAGTGGTAGCTGATTTGTCTAAACTAACTACCACTCCATCTATAAGAGATCCTATCCACCTATACTTCAAATAAAATTTTCTCTTAAACTACTCATCCGATCTACGATCCGATTACACCGTTGTGTTCGTAACAATTAAATATTTATAACAAGATCTTACATGATTATATTTTGATGAAAAATTATAAATTACTTTTAGATTTCACTAAATTACTTCTTAGACATATAAAAGTAAATTCAATATAGCCTAAAATTAATTTACATATATTAAGTAACTTATAAAAAAAGAAAGTAACTTTAATGCATGCCTTTTTTTCATTAGCCGTGACTACACAACTAGTGGTAGTTGGTTTGTACTCCATCTAGTGTCTCCTTTCATATTATTTTTAAGATCTATTTGTATCATTGTACTTCACTCAAAATATGTGACAAAACGAGATTCATATTGAATATATTCTAACATTTTATTAATTTAAAAGTAATTTATTACATGTTATAGAAAGTAACTTCCAAGTTATCAGGAAGTAGCTATTACATCTTATACATGGTTAATTCTCATTATTTATTCCATCAATGTTATTTGCAATCCATCAAAGGTTTTATCTTCTTTTCTCATTCTACACGAAAAACAAAAATGAAAGGAGAAAAACAATTGGTAATTAAACAGATTTATAGAGAGTTACTTCTGAACCATGCAAAAGTTCCTTCCAATTAACATTGAAGTTACTTTTAAAAATTGTTAAACTTATGTGTGTTAATCTGTGCTGATTAAATTTAATTTCTAGATAAAGTCATATTTTTATCCCTACAACGAATTTACTTCTAATGTCGTGACAAAGTTACTTCCGTTTTGTTTTAAGATACTTTTATAATATATGTAAATTACTTTTAGACTTTATTGAATTTACTTTTATATGTCGAAGAAGTAATTTAGTGAAATCTAAAAGTAACTTACGTATATAATAAAAATAATTTATAAATATAAACATTTGTTCATCGTAATATAATTATGTAAGATATTGTTTTGAAGATTTAATTCTAACGAACACAATAGTGTAATCGGATTGTAGATCGGATAAGTAATTTGAGAGAAAACTTTATAAGAAGGGAAAAGAGAGGTTACTTTTTTTCATTTTTCCCTTAAAAAATAGGCTTTCTTGGAAATAGGAATCATGGAATAATCCTGAATTCTAATGTTTATTTCTATAGTATAAGAAAAACTAATTGAATCAAATTCATGGATTTACCACGACCTCGGCTGTGACCCCATAGATAAAAATGCAAAATTTCTATCTTCGAGACCATTGAAAAAAGACATTGAACGAGAAAAAATCGTCGGAAAAAAAAAGACATGCATGTCTACATTGAAAAAAAGCATGCACGTGTAGTAGTACTTTTTCTCACAACTAGATGGTCGCTGATTAACACTAAATCAAGAGGCTTCTCGGTTTAGATTTTGCCGGGGGATCACCCATGAGCGAGGGCGAGGAGGAGGAGGGGAGGCAGGTCCAGGAGGTGGTGGCGCACGTGTACGACGTTGCGAGCAGCGGGTCGTCGGAGGGGGGCGGCGGCGGCACCGCCATCCTCCACGTCAACCGCTTCTTCAAGGACGCCATCGGCCTCGGCGGCATCTTCCACACCGCCATCCAGGTTTCCCCCCATTAATTGTTCTTCCGGATTGTAAGAAATATCGATCTGCATCTTGCTTGCGCCCGGCCCAATGTATTCGTCTTCTACGGAAAAGAAAAACTCTCATTTTGAATGCTAAGCAAACAGACAGCGGTCGATCTGGGAATAACCAGTTTCTCCTGGGAAGATCTTTGCTCATTCAGTCACATTGGAACCGGTGGTGCACAACTCAATTGATGTAGAATGCCTTGCAAAAATCGGACCTTTTAGAAACTGGAAGAATACTGTGAGAAATGTAGTACACCTGGTAGGACAATTCAGAGCCTTTTTCGGCTTCCACTTAGGTCTCAATTTCTTGTTGATTAAATCGTCAAAAAATATCCTACATTTTAGCTGAAATGTTCACTACGAATTGGGTAAATCTGCATATACTAGCCTTCCGGGAAAAAAAATTATATTGATGCACTTAATAGGTGGCAATACTGTTCCTTGTTGAACTTTCTTGATACATGGTCTTGCAACGAAACCCCTAGCTACTTACTGTTGATTAATACATGCTCATTCTTGAGCATCTGCAATCAGATGAACCCCTAGGTATTGATTCATTCTGTGTGCCTATTACAGGTGTATGGAGATGAAGAATGGTCCTTTGGTTACTGTGAAAATGGCACCGGGGTTTTTAGCTGCCCCCCGTGCAAAAACCCCATGTACACGTACCGTGAGTCCATAGTGCTGGGGAAGACGACCTGCTCTATTTTCACGGTAAACCAAATACTACGGGAACTGAGCTGGAAATGGCCTGGAGGCTCATATGAACTCCTGTCCAGGAACTGCAATCACTTCTGCAATACTTTCTGTGAGAAGCTTGATGTACCAAAACTTCCAGGTCCTTCAAATTGTTTGCTGATTCATTACCATATAAACCATATGTACTCATATCTGACTGTAATAGTTTTACAACACACAATGACAACAAAATTTCAATCAATTATGTACAGCTTGGGTCAATCGCTTCGCAAATGCTGGGGATGCTGCTCTAGAGGTAGCTGAAAATACAGCAGAAAAGGTGCACCATTCTGAACTTCTATGCTATATGTAACAGCCCAGTGTCCAAGCCGGCTCTAGTAAGTAGTAACCCCATTATATATACTATACACACATAGCAACCCATTTGCACTTTTAACTCAACTCATGCTAATTGGTTAACCAGCTTCCTTTGTGCATCTAAGGTTTATATGCTGGTTCCCAGCTTCAACTTAATACTGGTTATACTCCATTTGTATGTTCAGTACTTTAACTGGCACTAGAAGGTAGAAACCCAATACCATATATATCCCCTCAAGTCCCGTATATCTGCTAGATTTTTCAGTAACAAAATTATGGATACAGCCGTAGCACATAAACTGTGTGAGCACATGAATGATACTTAGATGCTCAATTGAAATAAATAAATAATATGGTGAAAGCACAAAAAAAAACTGCAAATCAGCACTTATACTAGCTGTCAAAAATTTTGAAATTAATGTGCACACTGTCAACTTGTCACATCGGTTTGGAAAGGTAATTCATGAACAATAGTTCTTAGTATAAATTTTTGGTACCTCCTCAAGGATCATAAAAACAAAAGAAGTGCAAAAATCCAAATACCATGTCCACTGACTATTAACATTAGTTAGTTTTACTGCCTATTTATTTGGAGTAAATTGATCTGGCATAGATCTTTTTTACTTTTCACTCAGCTGAAGCAAGCAAAAAAGGACATTGCGGGTGCATGCAAAGCAGCCACCACATATTTGACTGGTGCATCTTCAAGTTCACCATCAAATGCAGATGACTCAGGCGGTTCAACAAATAGTTCTCTTTTTGAGGGGACATGGCTCAGAAGTATCATCGGCATCAGTATGAAACCATCAAGGAGTCTCATGTGTTCGGATAGTTCAGATAGTTCAGATGATGAAAAATCTGAAGATGAGAGGGAATCAGATTGCCAACAGCCTAGCGGTGATCAAATTGAAGAAAAAAAGGATGCTACACAAGAGCAAGCAGGAAAGTGAGAATAGACCATGCCATCATCCATGAAGGTCACACCACAATGTACCGAAAGAGGAGCAACATTTCAAGATTGCAATTTGCTGATTAAAAAAATTTACACAGCGAGCAAGCAATCTACAACAAGAACCTAATTTACACATTGGGTGGCATCGACTTGTGATCAAGAACGGGGAGCTGTGACAAAGCCCTGACAAGTGCCGAAGTGATGGCGCTCATCACAATGCGTGCAATCCTGGACTTTACTTGCCCACGGCGTGGCAGTGGACGAACTCTCATTTGCTTTTCGCCCTTGTAGACTTTGATGAGATGAGCAGAGGCAACCTTGCAAGCTTTCTCGCCCATGTTGGTGAAGGAGATATCAGAAAACTTGTCTGGCACTATGCTTGATCTCTGTTCCCGTCGTGTACTTATAGGCTAGGAGATGTTGTATCTGAATGGAAGACATGACAGCTAAACTCTTGTTTCATTGCCGTATTAGCTGAGGGAGCCATTGACTATACCTGAATGATGTTGTTTTTTTGTATAATCTTGCAGTGTCTGTTGGTATGAAATGAGATGCTTCTGTTGATCTATTTGTGTCAGGATTGATTGGGCTGTTTGTCCGCGTGTGATGTGCAAATCTTTGACTTGATTGTGGCTCTGTGGTTTCTGATGAACAGACATGTGTGCATCTGGTGGAACAAACTGCAGACTTGTCATTTATTCTGGTCAGGTGTGGTGTCGTGTCCATGTTTCTCAGGTGCAAAGAATTGTTGCCAACCTGTGATGTCCCCCAAATCTGAGTATAAAACCTGATGCAGAAGCATTTGTGGTTAAGCTTGTTTATTAGGGGGGCAATCATGAGGTTCGTAGCATTGTCTCAATCTTGAAGGAAATCATGTCCACCATTATTGCCAATTATCCTTGCTTGCGTGGTAGAGTAGTTGCAGTCCAGAGATTGGCTGAATGCACGTACTGGTGATGAATCTCTGATGGATGGAAGAAGTTTCCTATGCCAAGACTTGATCATCCTGAAGTAAGGTATTCCCTCCGTAAATATTTTTTTTTAAAAAAACGAACTTGGAACTGAATGTGATATATTCTAGTACAACGAACATGGTTAGAAATTCTGTCCAGATACGTTGTGACTAGGACATGTCACATCCAATTCTAAATTTATTTATTTATTTATTTTTGGAACAGTAGGTAGGAGAAGCCCTGGTCCTGTGGGAGAGAAGCAGAAGCAGGTCGCGGCGTTCATCTCATCACTCATCAGGGTTTGTGGTCACAAGTAACTCGTACCATATCTTCTCCTATCTCATTTCTCAACTGAATGACTCGATTTTTATGGCGCTTTTCGCCACTCCCCGTCCCCAAATATAAAACCATGATTTCGCGCAGCAACTCAGGCACAGCCAAACAGCCTGACCATTAAAAAAAATTATAATTTACTGTTTTGTGTTTTGGTGTGCCTGACTAAAAATGTTTAAACAGCACGCCACGACGGACAAACTAGAAAGAAAGAAAGAAAGAAAGAAAAAAAAACATTTATCCGTTTGGTACCACGGTAGTAGAAAATATCAGCATGAGGAATTAAATTGCGTTTGGATTTATCAGGAGAGAATTGATGCTCAAAACCTGAATGCTACTAGTTGTTTGTTGCAACATAAAGAAGAAGAAGAAGAAAAGGAGGAGGGCGTCACACTTGGCGCAGACAAAACAACGAGACCGTACAGGTAGAGGTGGTAAAGGTAAACGACGAGAGCTAAAGAAATCTGGCATGGCGCCACCGGCACCGGCCGCTCTCCTCCTCCCCTCCAACCATTCCTATCGCCCGCTCCTGCCTCGCCCAATCCTGCACCACGCCACCGGCTTCGCCTGCGCCTCGGCCTCGCCCTCGCCGCCCCCTCGCCTTCGCCTTCGCCTTCGGCATGCCGCCCCGCTCCGTGCCGCCGCCCTGCCGGCCATCGCCATCGCCCCCGGCGACCACTGGGGCAACTGGGCCTTCCTCCTCTCCGCCGCCGCCTTCGGCACCTGGTACCGAATGCCGCTCCCTTCTTCTCATGCTCGTCTCGTCTGCTCTGCTCTGCCTGCTCATTGCTGAATAATGATGGCATGGCAGGTCGGAGGAGTCCACGTCGTGGGGCGCCGCGCTCAGCGGCTCGCTCGTCAGCATCATGGCCGGCCTGGCCGCCACGGCCACGGGTCTCGTCACGGCCGGCGCGCCGGCGCAAGACGCCGTCATGGACTACCTGCTGCCGGCCACCGTCCCGCTCCTGCTTCTCGGCGCCGACCTCCGCCGCGTCGTCAGCACCACCGGCGACCTCCTCAAGGCCTTCCTCATCGGATCAGGTAACTTAATTATCTTCCTTATTATGTGTATATTAATCAATTCTAGTACCTCCACAATTAATTAATTAACTAATGTCTCTCTCTTGAATCAGCGAACCAATAACATTGCAAAACTTTGCTACTTTAATTGATTAATTCCCCCTCTTGCCGTCCGGCCTGCCGGCCAGCCCAGCTAATTAATTTTCGTTTAAAAGCAAACAAATCGCAAGCTCCCAAGATGCAAACTCACTCGGTCATACTGACATTATAGTGCATGTGTCATTGCCTTTGTAACTGGTAGGAGTACTTACTTTGATTAATTTTTAACTACAAAATGCCACAATGATTTCATCTTTCCAAGTCACCCAGTCACTCAAACACTGGGACAGTGATGTTGAGCAGGAATTAACTGACTGACAAGATTGATGTGATGCGGCTGAATGTGCTTTATTATTGATGATGCAATTAACCTTTGCAGTTGCAACTACAATTGGCACAACGATAGCCTTTCTGTTGGTTCCTATGAAATCACTGGGTCAAGATAGCTGGAAGATCGCCGCTGCGCTCATGGGCAGCTACATTGGTGGAGGTAAATCATCGTTACCAGCTAAATGGGGGGTATATTTTGGCAGGATTTAAGAAAGAATTACACATACTACATTTTGATTAATTAGGACATTAATTATGATCTGAGCACGCATTTCCATTTCCATATGATTGAAACAGCGGTGAATTACGTCGCAATCTCTGAAGCACTTGGCGTTTCTCCGTCAGTGCTAGCAGCCGGTGTGGCTGCAGACAACATCATCTCTGCACTCTACTTCATGACCCTCTTCTCGCTGGCAGCCAAGATACCAGCTGAACCTAAAACTGCTCAAGGTACGTACGGAGATTCAATATGTATATATCATCTGAATTTCTTAGCTTATAAAGCTAATTAATGAAATGATGGATGGAGCATAGCAGAGGGTAGTAACGGCGGCGAGTCTGAGGGCGGAAGGCGGATGTCGGTGCTCCATGGCGGCGCGGCGGTGGCGCTGTCGTTCGTGATCTGCAAGGCCGGGTCGGCCATCTCCAGCCAGCTGGGAATCCAGGGCGGCACCCTGCCGTGCGTGACGGCGCTGGTGGTGGCGCTGGCGACGGCGTTCCCGCGGCTGCTGGGGAAGCTGGCGCCGTCCGGCGAGACCATCGCGCTGATCCTGATGCAGGTGTTCTTCACGGTGGTGGGCGCCAACGGCAACCTGGTGGACGCGGTGACCAAGGCGCCCAGCGTGTTCGCGTTCGCGCTGGTGCAAGTGACCATCCACCTAGGCATCGTGCTCGCCGCAGGGAAGCTGATGGGGTTCGAGCGGAAGCCGCTGCTGATCGCGTCCAACGCCAACGTGGGCGGGCCGACGACGGCGGCGGCCATGGCGACGGCCAAGGGGTGGAGCTCGCTGATCGTGCCGGGCATCCTGGTGGGCATGTTCGGGATCTCCATTGCCACGTTTGTTGGCATCGGGTTCGGCATGTTTGTGCTCAGGAGGATCTGCGGCGCCTAACCAATCTATAGTACTAACAATTCAATTGGTTTATATATAGCTGTGATCAATAAATAATAATGGAGGAGTAGTAGCAATGAAGAATCATGCATGCATTTCAATGAAAAGTGTAAACATTAGAAGAAGAAGAAGAAGAAGAAGAAAATACTGTATTATTTATCAAGAGTAATACTATTATTATTAGAAGAAGAAGAAGAAAAGTTTTGCAGATGATGGATGGATTACAACAAATTAAGGTTCTGAACCGAAAAATCAAGCTCGTCCTTGTGCTGCTGATTTCCACAGTGAGGAAAATTGGTTGGGTGCAGTAAACGGGCAGGGGGACAGAAGGCACAGGTGGTGGTGGTAGTTGGCAATGGCAGGGTGCAAGCGTGGACGAAGCTGGGGGCGTCGAGGAGGTAGGGCGTAAAGCGGAGCTCGGCGAAGAGGAGGTGCTTGTGGGTGGGGTTTTTGATGCTGCGAGCGACGAAGTTGAGGTGGAGGTAGAAGAGGCCTCTGAAGCGGATGGAGCAGGCGGCGATGGGAGGCGGGTCAGGCAGCAGCTTGCTGTCCTCCACTGGGTCGAACACCAAGTAGTCGTCATCAACTCCTTGGCTCTTGCAATGGCGGCGCCATCGTGGCGAGTTGTAATGGGCGAGGGCTTCTTGGATGTACTCCGCACGGCGCTCTTGCTCCGTCATTGGCGTTCGGTGCTCGGTGCAGGACCCCATCACAAGTAGTTGCCGGCGTGCTTGCTCCTGCTCCTCCAGGTACGGTGGCCGCTTGGGGTCGTCCAAAACGGCGCCCCCCTCTACCATCACCCACCTCACCTCATCACCTTTCGTTGCGCGTCCCAAAACTAACCCCAACGATTCGATCCACCGCGCGATGTATCTCTTATATTTATTTACAATCTGTAGGCAGCCTCCCTCGTTTCGTGTTTGTATCCAAATCGGAATCATTATAGATTAATCTCAATACGACTCCTACTGCTTCTCATCAAAATTACAAAAACGGATTTGATATACAACTGTCGCCAGATTTTTTTTTTCCCTGAATAAAACTCTTAGTTTGTCAGTCATCAGATGAGTGTTACGATTCGTGCTAGGGCATGGAATGGAAAAAATATCGGAATTGCTAAATGTCATCCAATAGAAAACTAAGGTCAAAATCTTGTAAATTTAATTTCTAACCTTGAGATTTGCTTTGTGATTCATGCTCCAGCAACCCTACCTCCTCCATATCCGACGAAGCTCGGTGACCGGCAACAACTGTAACAACCCTCCCTCCCGTACCGCGTAGCCAGCCTATCGGACAGGCGGGCCCACTTACACATACCACTCCGCTTAATTACACTTTCGTCCTCCCGCCAGAACCGCGTAGCTGTCGATGCGAAAAATACGCGCTAGCCTAAGAGGTTTGCTTTACTCTAGTGCAAGTCCAAAGAGATCGCTTTCGAGTTCAGGGCGTTCCAGTTGGTTTGATCCTACAACCAACAAGAAACAAAGAAACCAAAGAAGTTGTAATTGATTTAACTCCTGCACGACTAGGCTAACCTCTTGAAAATTAGTCTTTCTTTCCACATTAAATACCACTAGTAATATGCACATACTAACGCTACGATGATATTTGGAATGCAAACCAAACATAAATGTAATATAACGAGCTTGAATAAGATATATTTAAGATTGATGAAAAATGAACGACATAGAATTATTATATTGTGAATTACATAGCCACAAGTGTCTAAAATAACATCCCCATTTTTTTTATCTTTTGAAACCATATATATGTTCTTGATGCGCTTCTTTTTTGAGAACGCGCAAAAGGATTGCACGTCAATATATTAGCAAGAAAAGAGTTTTTGTTACACAAAGTAATCGGCCAGACTGGCTTATGCAAAGGGAGGAGGGGAGAAAAAGCAAAATAAAAAAACTTGAAGCTAGGAACTACTACGACGGTTAAAAACGCAACTCCAAACAACGGGAGGGGACAGAGCCACGCTACACTCCTAAGAGATCCCCAAAAAAAGCAACGTCGGCTAAAGACCACAGCTGGCCCTCCGAGCGGGTGGACTCCATAACCACTGCGACCGAAGCGAGCGCAGAGTCGAAAACCCTGGAGTTTCGTTCCTTCCACAGCTGCCAGGAGACTAGGAGTACCAAGGAGTCGAAGCCGCTGCAGTGGTGCTCAGGTAAACAGGCCCTGGAGGATGACCACCAATCCTGGAGCCAGCTGCCACGAAGGGGAGAGAGGGCAGCCCAGCCAGGAGGGGACATCACACGGAGCCAGACCTGCCGAGCGAACACGCAATCGATGAGGATGTGGTTCGCCGTCTCAAGCTTCTGAGCGCAAAAGGGGCAAGCAGAGTGGCTATCGATACCACGCTTTTGGAGAAGATCGGCAGTCCAGCAGCGCTGCTGAAATGCAAACCAAAGGAAGAACTTGCATTTAGCAGGGCCCTTCGCGTGCCAGAGTAGGTCGGCACAGGCAAAAGAGTGCTGGCCAAGGAAGAACGCCCGATACGTCGATTGCGTTGAGTAGCACTGGTCACCCGTCCAACGCCAGGCGAGGTGATCCTCAACACCCGATGAGAGCTGGGTAGGAAGCACCGCATCCCAGACTAACAGGAACTGAGAGATGACCGGGACAGTGAGGGCGCCACATATGTCACCAACCCAGGAGTTGTTCGCTAACCCAACGGCAACCGTGCGCGATCCCCGAAAGCGTGGAGGCACGGCGTGGAGGAGGTCAGGAGCTATAGAAGCTATCGAGCGACCATCGATCCATCGGTCAGTCCAGAAGAGCGTGGACTGACCATCTCCCAGGATAGAGAAGGTGGATGCTGCAAACATGTCGGAGACGCTCCACTCAACAGGGGCCTTCAGAACAAACCAGTAGTGATGTCCCGAGTGCTGAAGCCAGAGCCAACGAACTCTCAAGGCAAAGCCAGCCATCATGAGATCCATAATGCCCAGTCCACTGAGATCCCTAGGACGACAAACCCTCGTCCAGGACACCCGGCACTATCCCCCATTGGCCGAGTCCGTACCCGTCCACAAGAAGGCGCAACGCTTCTTGTCAATGGCTTTGATAACCCAGCTTGGCAAGCCGATCGCCATAGAAACATGGACTGGAATGGAAGAGAGAACCGACTGGACTAGAACCGAGCGACCCGCCAGAGTGGTGAGACGGCCCTTCCAGGAGGGAGCCGATGGGAGACTTTATCCACAAGCGGTTGCAGGGCCGCTTTTGGCAGCTTGCGAACTGACAGTGGAATGCCGAGGTAGGTGCAGGGAAACTCCGAGATTGAGCAAGGAAAAGAGGACTGAACCAGTTTCAGGTCAAGAACCGAGCAGCGGATCGGAGTAATCGAGCACTTGGTGAAGTTGGTCCGAAGCCCAGAAGCGGCACCGAAGACAGAGAGGATGCCTTGGATGAACTCAAGGTCTTGCCGAACGGGGGAAAGGAAGAGAACTAGATCATCGGCGTAGAGGGATGCACGATGTCGAATAGCACGATCATTGAGGGGAAGAAAACCACCCGAGTCAAAGGCTTTGCGGAGCATCGCATTGAGCACATCCATGACTAGAATGAAAAGCATGGGGGAAAGAGGATCTCCTTGGCGAAGACCTCTCCGATGGGGGAACCGTGGACCTGGCACCCCATTAACCAGCACCCGGGAAGAGGAGGCACTGAGAATGAGGGAGATCCAATCACGCCAACGTTGACTGAAGCCAAGTTGGGCTAGCACCTCAAGCAAGAAAGGCCAGCTGACCGTGTCAAAGGCCTTCGCGATATCCACCTTGAGAAGAAGTCAGGGAACGCGTTTGGCGTGGAGCGCCCTTGCCGCAAGCTTGACATAGCGGAAGTTGTCATGAAGAGAGCGGCCCTTGATGAAAGCGCTCTGGTTAGACGCCACAAGCTCGTCCAGGCGAGGGGAGAGACGAGAGGCCAAGATCTTGGAGAACAGCTTCCCAAAGCTGTGGATAAGGCTAATCAGCCTAAAATCCTTAATGTCAACAGCCTCGTCCTTCTTCGGCAAGAGGGAGATCAGGGCGTTCTTAAATTACTGTATGACTATAGGTGTAATGTCTTCAAATAAATTCTCATTGTAATTCAATAAGTTAATGAATCTGCAAATAGTTCACGTAAATGGAACATAATGCTTGATCTCAAATGACAAAGAAACATATATAGTATGGGCATCTTATCCCTGATCAACATCACAAAGAAGGATTCATCATTTTACAGTGTTAAATGAAAACATGCAGCATCAAATCTATTGCAGCCGGATTATGAGCCACCCCTGCAACATGAAAATTCACATTTATATTTGCATGGATCTATGACTCGTACAGATTTGAAAGGCATGAACAATCTAACCTGTGAAGTAATTCCAGTAGTAAAATGGAATGCATTGTCAATAAATTGTAGTAAAAAAACAAAAAAACTGTACCAACTGAAAACCTTTCAAAAGAGGAAGGAGTCAAACCATATCAAGCAACGAGGTTTCAAAATGAAATCATTTTGTGTAATACTCCCTCCGTTTCAAAATGTTTGACACCGTTGACTTTTTAGCACATGTTTGACCGTTTGTCTTATTAAAAAAATTTGTGAAATATGTAAAACTATATGTGTACATGAAAGTATATTTAACAATGAATCAAATGATATGAAAAGAATAAATAATTACTTAAATTTTTTGAATAAGACGAATGGTCAAACATGTACTAAAAAGTCAATAGCGTCAAACATTTTAAAACGGATAGAGTAGTATATATACTACTGAAATAGTGAGAGCAGAGCACTATATGAGTTGGCATCAATACCCCAGATATTATGCAGTGAATCAGGCATCAAGAATAGCCAAAGTTAATCAGAAAGTTGAAAAATAGTATATACACCTTATGAATTTGTCTGCAATTTAGATATTCTTTTACAAGATTGCTCCATCACTCTTTTATGGTCAATATTCTCAACATGATTGAAGAACAATGTTCAATATTGTTATACTTATCCTACCTATTGTGTGATAATCCACAATCATTTCTGACACAATGTGATATATGTCTAAAGAAGTGGTCCTTCTAAGATCATATGCCACCAAACCACTATTGAATTCATCACTGAGAATAGATATTTTGTGGCACAGCTCAGGTTATTAGAAGGGAGCTATTTACCTGAAATGCTTTTGGACATCTACCATTTGACGCTGCAAAGCAACCAAGGTAACATGATAATTCCTGCCAAAAAAAAAATTGACTGAATAAGCAACTGAATATCAGAGACAGGATGCAGGAAACAAAGAAATTTCAACAACTGTTATGTCATCCTTGTTGAATTGTTGAGATGAACCTCAACAATCTGACCCCTGCGATAGATTCAAAAGCATATGGAGTGCAATTTTTTCTTTGTATTTTATTCCATGATAGTGAATAAGTCGGCAGCGATGGAACGATGGGCGGAGGTCAATGGCGAGGAAGCGGGATCAGGCGGTGATGTAGTCTTCGAGATGATAATATCGCTGAGATGGATGTATACGGCAAGATCAGCTTACCAAGCTCAGATCAGTTCATAATTCTCTCACTGTCCCACTTTGATCTGGAAAGTTCCAAGTGCTGAATTTATGTGTGGCTTGGCTACTGATTTCAAAACAGGATATGGACAGCTGATCGCCTGCAACTACGGGGCTGGTAAAACAACAACATGAGATGGCATTCTGGGAGGCTGTGGAAGCACGAATGAAGTATTCACAACTCAAAGCGTGCCCCGGGAATCCTTGTTGGATAATTAACCACGGACCAAGAAAACGAACAAGGGCAGAGTCAAATCTCTTTCAATCCCGGTTTCTTGGGAGTTTTTTTATCGCTGAGATGGATAGCTATTGAAAGAGAACAAGCGCAGAAGAGACTGGATGGATAGCTGGAGGAGCGAGGGGTCTGTCAACGATTTATGTATTGCACTCCAGAGAGAGTAACAACATCCCAAAACGCTTCTCATAGAATAGAAGCAATCAGTTATCTGTTGTACAATGAACTAATGAATTGAATTAGTTCGCCTGTAAGCTGAGAAGCTAACTGGCAAGAGGGGACAGAGGCCGGACGACCGGCAGAAAGAACCTAAGGAACGCTTCAAATAGAACCCATCTTGGAGGACCTCTAGCATTGTGACTGTCGAGAACTTCAATGTGCAATTCCCGGCCAAAAGGGGTTGCCGAAAACCGGTATGCATAGCATACAACGGCATGCAGAGAGGCCGTTTGGTTGTCAACCAAGAACGCTGGGCAGCCTCTGTACACCCTCCTGGCATCCTTGTCAGCATCGCAACCGGAGTATCCCTTTGGGGTAGCCCAGAGGACCCCAATGACAGGGCCATTCGAACATGGAGAAAAGCATTTGAATTGTAGTCCTGTAGGGTCCAACAAATCTACGGTATCTCTCTATCTGTAGTAGAGCCATACCGTCAGTCGTTGGTAGCCCTCCGATGTCAATGATTACATCCAGCACCCTGTCAGATTTCCCACCACTTTCCTGTGACCAGGCATTCCTCTTAAGGCATTCTTTTCTGAGTTTTGCAGGGGGTGATTCTACCCTCCATGCAAAGGATCCTCTCCCATGGATTCTCTCAAACGCAAGCCGGTCGATACATACACTGCACGCCGAGAGCGAGCAGCCTCCTGCACCATGCATACAATACATACACAGAGAGATCAGTCAGTGAGAGGGTGGAGAAATTAGTCAATCAATGAGAGAGCAGGTATTACTATTCCAGTTAGGAGCTTCACCTGCGTATTGAATAATTGGTGAGCCCATTACTTCTTCCCAACTGTATTCATTCGGTACTAATGCTTGGTGAATCCCTGCCACTACTTTCCACTTAAAATTTCTTAAGCTGCAAACCCAGTCAGATAGAAACTTTGTGCAGTACACAGGTTTTGCATCAGCCTTCTGCACTGAGGCCTCCTCCAAGAGTGATATGTTCATTCCCTCATATTCCTCTTCATTCCTATCCTTGTAATCTGCAAGCATTGTGCAATTTGTTCGTCATGTGACTAGAAGCAGAAGCATGAACAAACATAACAATGTACTACTACTACTACAAATTAACCTGGTAGATCTGCAAGACCCATGCAGCTAACAGCCTCAATTACTACTTCTAGTTTTGGACTTGAGCTTGTTGGAGCTAGCGAGGACAAAAACTACCTGAACGAATTGCTACACTACTAGCTTCATGCTAAACTCAATCTCTCAGGCAGACATGGAGCAATGAGCGAATACATTTTTTAAGGTACTAGCTGCTATTCCCTCCATTCTAAAATATAAACACATGTAGCATTTGAGATCTGTACCAAATTACAAGTACTTCTAAAGCACTCAATTTAGAAGTGCTCTTCAGTGAAATGTTTGTTTACTGAAATATAAACACATGCAACAACCTTATTTCAGTGAACATACAAGAAAAACAAAACGCTGGACAATGGGGAAGGACCCAATGTGGAATTTATCAAGAAAGAGGGTGAGCGTGTCCGGCCAGAGTCGAACGCGGGTCGCGGGGAGCACAACGGCTGCACCATGCCATCTGCGCTACACGCAGTCTCCAGTGAACATATAAGCATTCACTCAGTTTCAGTTAACATATGGAGCTAATTTCAGAAATATGAGGAGCAGGCTATGGGCTGTTTTCAATGATGATACCAGTTAATAAGAGAGAGCCAGTGTTTAGACTGAAAACATCTATCAGAACAATCATGATAATAAATATTGGTTATATCGTTACCTGATACAATGTGATGTATATGGAGCCCACTGCTTCTGAGAAGCAGACGAAGGGAGATGAACGTCTGCAACGGAAAACACACAAGGGAAGCACATGATCAACAATTGAATCAGGAATTTCACATCAAGATGTAGCTACCCCCAGGCATGATGAAAGAATTTGTTTTTTAGGCGGAAAAGGGGAATAACCAGAAGAAACACGGCGCAAGAGAGGGGGTGCAAGAAACCCCATGAGAATGACATGGCGGTGGCAATGTTGAGCGAATCAAGAACAAGAAACAGACTTAATTACCCGAGGACGCCGCTTGCACACGGATGTCCTGTTCTTGACGCCGGGTTCGCGGCCAGGCGACACTGACACCTGCTCGCGGATGGCCAGCGTCTTCTTGTTGTTGTGCACATGTAGAAGGCCGGCGTCACCGCCGTAGATGGGGTTCGGAATCACAACCCTGCACCGGCGGAAGTCGCGGCACAAGGAGAAGAGGCTGGTGACGTCGTGGCCCAGTGAGAGGGGTTCTTAATCGCCGATGGGCGAATCCGATAGCGTCGTCGTGTGCCAGCGCAGTACGCCGGTGACGCCCTCGCCGCCGTGGAAGGGGGTCGGCATCGCGCCCCCGCGCTGGCTGACGTCGTGGCCCAGGGGCGCCTGCTCGAGCTCCAGCAGCATCTTCTTGGGGCGGTGAAGAATGCAGGTGACGCCCTCGCCGCCATGGAAGGAGGCCGAATCCTCCTCGAATTCCATTTCCCCGCTGCGAACTTCACGGCCGGTGGTTCTTGCTCTCTTGGTTCAATAGCTGGAAGAGAGAGAGAATTGGAGGCCGTTGGGTTAGAGCGGGTACTAGTATTTGAAGCCCGCACCTGTACCGACTTGAGGCCCCTCGGCTCCTGAGATCATGCCACGTGTCTAAGTATTCCTTCATCCCCTTCTCCCCACTGCCATGGCGGCTTCTTTTTCTTGCCTTCAAACAAACAACAGAGTGAACAAACCACACTGTATTAGTCCTCACCAGAAAAGCTCTAAACAGATAATAGTACTGAGTTATGGTAATCCTCGGGGGCAAGGAGCTATCCATGTCAAGATTAGCAGGCTTTTCTTTATGTGTTATCATGTCACAAGAGAATTTTGCCAAGAATGAATATTGCAAGTTGATCATGCATTCCGTTACTCTTCCCAGGTGCAAAACACTATATACACGCAAAATAAATAAATCATGTTTATTGCTTCTGCAAATTTCCTTTTTCTAGCCAAATACACAACTACTGCAGCAGATATCTCAGAATACAGCATCAGGGCTGGTTCAATATCCCAATTTGCAGCAACTGGGTAAAAGGGCTTTTGTCACCAGTCTCAAGTCAGTGCACCTCCAGAGTCCAGAGTGACAAAGAGGTGTTTGATCTGAGCAGGTTCTTCATGGAGAACTTTGCTCCGCATATACTGCTTCACTTGGTCTTCCTGCTACCTCAAAGATTCATTTTGTTAGCCACACAAAGAATGTGCCAAACAAGTATATTGGGGACATCGATGTGAAAACAAGTTCCAAACCTCAAGCTATAGAAATTAATCCACAGGTCAACAGTAACTTAATTGTGGATGATGGAGATGGAAATATCCTTTATTCCAAGGAGTCTTGGGTGATGGTCTTGATGATGTCCTTTATCCTCAGGGAGTCAACTGCAGACACAAATATTGAACCAGAGAAAGTCACACAGTACATCCCGGGAATTACTTCCACCTTCCAACTTTCAGCCCACCATTCTTTTTGTAGATATTGCTTTGTGCTGTTCTATTCTAAACCTATTGTCATTGTCAGATTGAGAAATAAGCCCATAAAAATCACTTTCAGCTTGAATGGTAAAGATGTTGATTAACAAAAACAAGTCTCACATTCAAGTGATTCTCAAGAGTACCAGGTATCTGTGGTGATACTAAAAAATGACTTAATGAGTCGTTTAAGGACAATGGATGATAACTCATGGCATCGTCCACATGACAAGACTTCTGCAACAACTCAAGAAAACACCACTCGAGTTCATGCGAGTGTACTCCCTGGTAATCCGGTTGCACTCTGAAAGTTGTACTGTCACCATGGTCACTGCATAATGAGGTTTTGTAATGGCTGCAAGAACTCAGTTGACAATTGCAGCTCACAAAGCAGATGTACATCAATGCTTCTTCGCTCATTTGAAGTTTAAAAAGTGAACTATGGTGTATGTTATGATGAGAAAAATGTCGATGATTGACTGGGCTTTCAATGTCATACCTGCTGTGGGAGTCCTGCTGATGTTGTGTCTGCTCCTGCTGCTGCTCATGATTGCCATTATCACATATTCAAAGTAGTTTTGCGTGCTAGGATGCTGTGCATTTGGTGCACCATAGTATGCATCACAGCCCGTATCCTTAGTAGTTGCCATTCCACTGGCTGGGATCCTGCTGGGGAGGCCTGAAATTCAGTCAGCTGGCATTACAGGTTTTGGGGTTAACCTATGCACATGCATGCTGCAGCTCGCATAAACAACCAAGGATTAAACTCTGTACAGAAACCTGTTTGTTCTGATGAGGAGAGCAGCCCCATGAAAGCCGAACTTGGTACCCACCTATCGGAGATACACTCCAAACACGGATGGATGGTTTCTTTAGCGGATGACCTGAAAGTAGAATAATATAACCAAAGCAACAAAGAATCATATGTACTGATAGTATTAGGTGAAGATGATTACAAAGAAAGCTTGAAGAATTCATTAATCTGCTGCTAGTAAATTGGGCAAATCCACGGAGCTTTGCCTAGAGAAATCTTCACATGACCAATTTCAGCACATGATTGAGATGGTTCTCATTTACATTGGAATCTATGGGGGCAGCACAATACGAAAAATCAGTTGCGTCAAAAAAAAAAAGGAAAAAAAATCAGGAAACAGCAAGTCGTAGAATTAAATAATGAGAAAGTTAATGATTCTCGAAATTGTTTCCTTGGGAGCTCCAGCTCTGGTAAGCTGCAATTAGAAAACATATATAATAAGCACCATAAGTTGAGAAAGATCACCATAGGATGCTGATGCTATATAGTAAAAAAGTATGGAAAACCCGAAATCAAAGTTAGCAACCATGTTTGCTAGCCAGACGCCCAGACCCAAAACAAACAGGCCACTGAAGACAACAGATTCAGTGTTACCATGTTGATAAGTAAACTAAATTTCTTCCTTAATAATCTATGGGATGATGAAAGGAATACAAGCAATCCTTACTTGATGAAGGTGATTTGACAAACTAGTGAATGTATTGTATCAGCTTGGCTGAAAAAACAAGAAAAGACTGAATGCATTTAGTAATTAGCCAATATTGTGACCGAATCTGAATTGTCGTGCCTGGTTGCGGGCTTGTGATGTGCTTTGAAGAGGTGGCGGGGGCCGGGAGGAGGAGGACGCGGCCAGCGCGCCCCGTCCTCCGCCGCCGAGCGCCGACTCCTCCCCACTTCCACAACCACATGGCGCCGCCGGAGTTGGAGGCGCCGAGGCAGCCGGAGCAGGAGTGGTCGCGGTCGGAGCCGACGGCAAGAGGGGCGCACGAAGTACGCCCGCGGCGGAACAACCAGGACTGAGAAGGCGATGCAGGCGGCGGCGGCGGCGGCGGCGGCGAGGAATAGGAAGCTAGGAGCATAATTTTCAACTTCTGAGCCGTTGGATCTGACAAGTGACGAGGCCTCCCTCACCCTACCACTCTTCTGCGCAAGTCTTTTTCTTTTTCTTTTAACAGAAAAAAAAAACCCAACTTGGAAGGGACCGATCGCACAAACAGAAGGGTGTATGTCCGCGTGTAAAAAAAAAAAAGTATACTCCCTCCGTCAAAAAAAAAAAAACTCAACCTAGGACTAATATGTGACATAATCTAATACAACGAATCTAGACAGAAGCATGTCCAGATACGACAGAAGCATATCCAGATACGTTGTACTAGATTATGTTACATCTCATTCCTAGGTTGATTTTTTTTTGGACGGAGAGAGTAGGCGGGGATGATTCACACATGTTGGGGGAGTGGCTCCGGTTGACGGAGCTGGCCTCCGTCAGTGGGGAAACTCTACTCGGAGCCATCCACCAAGGGAGAATGACCGAAGGTTTCGGAACCAACCGAGAGCTCCGGAGCACATCACCAGCTCCGGAGCAGACTAGCCGCCCTGAAGCCTGTCATAGGCTCCGGAGCATATCAACGACGCTGGAGCTAACCAATAGCTCCGAAGCAGATCAAGGGCTCCGGAATATCCGGGGACCCAAAGTATCCAAGCATGAAGGAATGGCGCACGAGCGTAGTGGGGCGCCATAAATACGCATTACGCGTCCGCCAACCACCTCTGACATTCTGACAGGGGCAGGGCGGCATCCACTATCATCCGGGGGCATGCCTTTACCCGGATAATAGCCATCACCCTCGGAAAGCGTCACCGCATCCTTAATGGGCGCAGCCTTTCCTGTCACTTGGGATTTTAACGATTGCCCAAGGGCTAGCCCATCGGCCGGCCACACTACATCTGTTTTAGTTAGAGCAAAGATGTAACTTTCTCTTGTATCCCTAGTATATGTAAGCATTGCCCACAGTTAAGGGCAAATTGAATACAGAATACACATTGAATACATTGTTTGGACTTTGTCCCAACAACACGTCTAATATCATTAGTGGAACTAGTTGCCTCTATTGGAATTAATCTCACATATAATATGATCATGGCATATAACTTATACATGTGAGAAACATCAAGATGTCTTCCGGGTAATTCCACAAGGCGGTGGGCTAGCCAGCCTTTTATTTGATATTAGATTCTTCCCTAATATTTATTTTTTTTTACTCGTACATGTGTGTTAGAGACCATTATATCATGGACTCATGTAAGTGATTAACTGAACCATGTAATCGTGGTTGATGACATGGTTCAAATGTTGTAAACCGTTAGATCACAGCCAATCAACGAATATTAGGCATTCCAAGCATTCTAGAAAATCTCTTGATATACGAGAATGCATGTGTCAGGGACTCGGTTTGTGCCATCCAATGGGCCAGTTCTCACCGAGCAGTGTCCCAAACCAGCCCAAAAGAGAGAACTATAAGAGCAACAGCAGCTGGTCCTCTAAGGACGAACAGACCAGAAGCTCTCGGGGAATTTTAACTATTTGCTACTTTTAGGTTTGTCAATTATCTAAATATCCCTCTTAGGTTCGTATTTAATAATTTGCCATTGGAGAGAGGTGATTTCTTAACTATTTGCCACTTTTGCCTACGTGGCGAGCCATCGTGGCATGTCCGCGTGGAAAACGACGTGGACCCCACCCGTCAGCCCCTCCCATCTCCTTCTTCTCCACCTCCGGCCATCATTTCTCCACCCATCAGTCGAAATCCGCACCATGGGGAGGTTGGGTGGGCATTGGTGCCAGCGCACGAGCTTGACGCGGTAGAGGGAGGCCTGCCAGTGCGGCGTGAGATTGGCGAGTGTGGTGGGGTCGCAGCAGTAGACGGCGAGCGAGGTCACCGCCGGCAAGCAACCCACGAGACGGGCGGCGATGGAGGCGTTCTGCTCGGAGATCGCCTCGGGGTGGTACAGGTTCATCCTCGACGACGTCGATGTCAACGACGGCGCGCCGCCGCCGCCAGGCCGGACGAAGGAGAGGAGCGGGTGCCCCCACAGCGAGACAAGTGAGAGGTCGAGGCGGTCCAGCATCGGGAAGCAGAACGTCGGCGAGAGGAACAGGAACCCC